CTTTCCCTCAGTGCCGTGTCTGTTGGTCCCACTTCCGCTTACACTTTTCCAGTTCGTCTCGCCGCGGCCCTTTCTCCGGCAAGGGAGCGTGAAGAGGTGGGAGGAGGAAGGAGGGAGGCGAGTGTTTTTGTATTCGAATTGGATTTATCGCGTTTCAGACGTCTGGAAGTGGGCAGTGCCGCTGCTGGTGATTTGAGGGGAAAATTGCCGCTCGGGAGGAATGTTACGGGTAAGCGCATGCGTTGGCAGTAGTGTCAGCGCTCTTTTTTTGGCTTCTTCTGCTCTTGTTCGGAGTGATTTCTGTCTTCGTTGTGCTGCTCATCTCGGACGTGCTTTCTTCTTCAGAGTGATCTGATCGATTTCGAAAGTGAGTGGAAGGAGGCGAGCGCCACATTGGTATCGCTGCTCAACCAGCGGGTTTGTTGCACTCCGTTTCATAAAAGCCCCTACCGAGCTTCATCGGTCGGGGGATATTGGGTGCCGGGGCGCTGTAGACGCGGATCAGTTAAATTGCCTCTTCGGTACTCCGGCGTAGACACTGGTGAGAGGCATTTGCAGAGTGTGAGCAAGAGGCAGTGGCAAGAGCTGTTTGTAACAGTGCATCGCATTTGTACGTGGGTCGAAGATGGCAGCAATCTGGTGGAGGAGGAGTTCCAGAAGGAAGTGCATCGTTACGTTCTCGGTGCCAGCAACGTAAGTTCACATGTTTTGCATTGCCAAATAAAGCAAGTTTCTCTTCACTCTTCGTTTCAGCGTATCGGCATACACGAGGAGGATAATGCTATCTTGCGGGCCTATGTCGTGGAATGGGGCAAATTCTGTGCGCAGGCTGAATATATTCCCAAGCCGTTCTGCTACATTCTGGAGCATTTCCATACGGCCACGAAACCCGCACCTTCAATGCAAGATACCGTCGATTTAGTTTCACTGGTACGATAACTTCTTGAAGTTTCCGTCTGCTACCGCTGAAATGGCTATTGCCAGTGGAGAAAGGCATCATCTGCTTCGTTTTTTGCAGAAAATGTTGAATGACTGGAACGAGACGATCTTTACGGGCATGAAGGCCAAGTTGCAGAATGCAGCGCTGCGTTTGATTGAGGCGGAAAGGAACGGTGAAGATTTTGATCCTCAGCTTGTCATTGGTGTTCGTCAGTCCTACGGTAATTCCCATTTCCCAGTGCTTGTGTAACGTCTGCGCTCCTTCTTGAATGATAGGCCGCTTAACAGTGTGAAGTGGCTGCAACAGCTGCAGTGCAATTTCGCGCAGGACGAAACTTCTGCAGCATCAGCCATTCCCACATTTTTATCACCTTCACTTGGAATGATTTAATTTAGAAGTGATGAGAAAATTAAAGGCATTACTTTTTATGCGTTTTGTGCTGTGTAACAGCGTTACAAAACACATTGTCACGGGGTTGTCTGCGTGTGTGTGTTTGTGTGTGTGTCCCACATTTTGTCCCGCACTTTCAACTCGGGAACCACAAAAGCTAGACGTCTGAAGTTTTGGTAGTGTTCCCCTCCAACGGTTGACGCGGCAAATTTAAATTCAGCCTTCCCGTACCCGCGGGTAACAAGTACGGCCCTGCGAGAGTTTTTTTACGGGTAAATTATTATCTCGGGAACCACGGGGTCAAGGAAGCTGAAATTTTAGGGTAGTGACCCCCTGCCCATGCTCAACCTTGCCCATTCAAATTCAGCTTTCCCGTACCCGCGGGTAACACGTACGGCCATGTGAAATTTTTTTACGGGTAAATTAATATCTCAGGATCCACGGAGTCTAGGACGCTGAAATTTTAGGGTAAGAACCTCCTGCCCACGCTCAACCTTGCCTATTCAGATTCAGCGTTCCCTCGCTGTTGAGTATCACCTACGGCCTTGTGAGAATTTTGTCGGTTAAACTATTAACTCGGGAATCACAGATAGATATTCACCCTTCAAGGTTTCGAATTCAGCTTTCATGCGCTGGTACGTGAAATTTTTTAAGTATTTTCCAATTGCTGAATTTTTTTTCCATAGACTACAGTACAAAGCAGTGAAAATCATTAATAGGCAATTGTTCGATGGGCTGAATTGCACAAATTTTCATTCTGACAACGCATTTTTTTTTTTTTTTTGAGGCCCGCTACTTGCAGTTTCCTGATTTTCCGGTAGCGAAGGCAAATGAGAGTGCTACGTAACTTCGTGCGCAGTCAGTAGTATCTGTAGCTCATGACATCCCCTTTTTTTTCTTTTGTTGATTTAGGAGAAGAGAGAGAGAGAGAGAGAGTGCACCTACTACCACTACGGGCCTTTTATGAAAATGTTTGCAGGGAGAAATGAGTTTATATGGAAATACTAGCAGCCTTAAATTGACCTTTTCGTTTCATTTCTTCCATCATTTTTTAAATTTCCTTATTTTCAGCTGGTTTTTCCTTTCATACCCAAAGGTACTACTTCGAACAAAATCTTTTGACTAATTGTACAAGTGCA